CATTTAGGCTGTTTCCACTATGGGCTACTGAGAATGGTGCTGTAAAGTACACCACTGCACAAGTCTCTTCTTAGGCATGGTTCTCAAGTCTTTGGGGTACCTGCTTTGGGGTACCTGCCTAGGAGTGGAGCTGCTGGCTCCTGTGGGGGTTCTTGTTTTCATTTTGGGGAACCGCTGTCTTGTTTTCTAAGCACCTGTGCTATATCACATCCCCACCAGCACTGGATACCTATTCCCTCTCGCCAGTGCCCTGATCAACATTGGTTCTTTTCGCTTTTGTTTTGTTTTTACCTTGACCATCCCATCTGGATGGGAGTGTAGTGTACTATTTCATTGTAGTTTTGATTTGCCATCTCTCTGAAGACTCATGACATCTTTTCCTGTATTTGGTGGTCACATGAATGCCCTATTTTGTGAAATGCCCTTTCAACTCCATTGCCTATTTTATGATTGGGTTATTTGTCGTTTTTCTTGGCAAGTTGTGAACTTTGTAAATATATATTTTAAATTTTAGAATTTTACCAGATGTGTTAGGGAGGGTCCTCTAGAGAAACAAAACCGGGGCACTTATGATTATATATATAAAAGGATAGGTTTATACAGAGAGAAGGCATATAATAGCTAATTAGTCCACACAGCAGTACAGACTAAGTTCAACTCACTTCCATGGAATAGCTTATATACTGAAGGTCCTTCAACTCATGCAGGCTGCCAGTCTGAGGTCAAGGAAGCAGACAGCAGAGTCTTCCCTCAGGCAAGACAGGCAGAGTGGTCCTGCAATCAGCAGATAGCAGGGTGGTACAGCAACTTGGGAGCTTAGAGAAGCAGGCCCCAATTGGATCTGGAGCTCAAGCGATGTACACACCAGGGGCGAAGTGACGCATGTCTCGAAGGAGCCTCAGGCTCTAGCAACAGGATCCATAGGTTGGCTCAGCCCACATGTAGTGCAGCACATGACTGAGACAAAGAACTAGCTCAAGCAGCAGCACGCTGGTCCAACCAGGGAGGAAGAGAGAAGGGATGCCAGCCACAGAAAGTAATTATCTCGGTCCCTCTCCAGTCAAGCTGCCACCTGATTAAACTCTGCCCACATGTTCCTATGGAGGACCAGTTGGCACAATGAACCTAACTATCACACCAGATCTGTGGTTTCCAAAGATACTGTCTCACTGGGTAGCCTGTGCCTTCACTTTTTGGTAGTCTTTTGATGAACAGAAGTTTTTGAAGACTATGAGCTCCCTTTTAATTATGTTTTGCCTTTTGCTGTGTGTGCTTTGTTAGAAAACCCATTGTTGAAATCTAGGCAGTGTTGACCCTGCTTGTTCTTATAAGAAACAGCCCCAAGTATTTTATATGTGATAGAATCTCAGTAAATACGTGTTGACTAATTGCCCGAATTAGCCAGGTCCTGTACTCAGACACTGTCTGATTAGATAAATTCAAGGTGTTAAAGATGTTCTAGATGTCTAAATAGTTAAAGCAATTTAACTATTCTAAAATTGCTGGGAATCTCTCTAAATTGGAGCATGCCTGAGAAGAAAAGTACCTGTGTTAACTTTCCCGTTTCCCTTCTTGTTGCAGGTGCACAGCTATGGAGAAGCCTCAGCGAAAGGTAGGGAGCTGTCTTTCCCGTGCTGTGCTAATGGAAGGCAAGGTGGGGCGGAAACTGACGGGGCCACTGAGATGTGTGTATGAAATCATCTTTTAGTGAAAGGCCCCAAGTCCAATGGTGGTCAAAAAAAGAGAGAAGATAAACACAATTGGGCTGAGGACGAGCATACACGAGAGCTCTGTTCTAAGAAATGACTGCCTCTGCTTCCTGGGCTCGGCATGCATTTGTGTGTGGAGATTTGGAACTGAAGGGAGGAAGTTATCTCCTCTCGAGGTCTCCTGTCGGAATTTAGCTTTAGGCGCCCACATGGCTGGCAGAGTAGGAGAAGAGGGCAGTGGTGACATCACAGGCTGTTTTGGAACCTCCTGGAAGGGTTAGCTGAGCTGTAAGTGCATTGGACTTTGGGGGCTGGGGGTGGGGAGCACAGTGGAAGAGGTGGAAGAGGCGCATCATCAGGGCCGGGCGTGCAGTCATGATTGACCTTGACTTCTTGTCAGGCCAGGGCAAACCTGAACAATCCTTCCATCGGCGGCATTCAGCCCCAAGTCAGGGTGCTACTTCCAAATGAAATAACAATAATATTCATAATAACGGGCTGGGGCAGTGTACGAGGGGAAAGAATCCCCATTCACCAGCTGTGTATTCGAGAAGTAGGAACAATAAAGGAAGTGCCGGAGTTCATGAAAAACAAACGCGAACCAAACTCATCACCATCAAGTCGGTGCCAACTCACAGCGCCCCTCTAGGATGGTAGAACTGCCCCCGTGAGTTTCCGACACATAACTGTTGACAGGAGGAGAAAGCCCCGTGTTTCTCCTGTGGAGCGGCTGGTGATTTGAACTTTGGACCTTGTGGATTAGCCTAACGTGCAACCAATTCATAACCCTGTAGTATTTTACTGGGATTTTAAAAAATGTTAATCCGCCCTCAACATCTCTTAGTATTACTTAGGATGGTCAGGATCCTCGATTTATATCAAAGTGGGCATCATGAAATGAATACTTCAAAAGACGGACAAAACAGTATCATTAAAAATT